ATAAAGGGTTAGGCGGTCGTTTAAAGCCCTAGTGGAACGAATGTGATGTAAATGATGTCTTGAGCGTGCCAACACTGGCCATGTGATCCGTGTTCACGTGCATGGACACACACACAAGAGAACTTGGACACCAATAGGACTCGATCGGCTCTCAGGTGGACATGATACTGAGGGCCAGCTGATGCTTGCGGATGTTATGCATCCATAATCATCAGCATCACCGTCTTTGATATGTTCAAAGTCGCCCTGCGGCGTGCTCATGCATATGACTGGACTGATCATTATTGAATTCAGCCTGCTTGTGCCATTGCAGATGCAATTCCATGTTGCAATGTGAGAATAAAAAGCTCACAAACGCACACATTCATCATCCCGTTTTCTCACCAGACACCAGCCCGTGCCCGATTTCTCAATCAAATGAGATGATATGCAAGCGCTGTGTGAAAAACGATAGCCTGTCAGAGACGATGATGCTTTAATTGACAATCGATACCCGGGTGAGCTGAACCATTATGTTGCGTGACGGGAGCAACAACGTGTTACAGGTGCGTAAAACTAGCAGAGTGATGGTCTGTCTGGGTTTTAGGGCTACTAAAGGGAACATGTGAATCACACACTGTTCATAAATCAGAGCAGCTGTCGTTTTTCAGCTCTTTTCTGACATCTAGCGGTAACCACTGCAATTTACGTCAGTGTTGCCGTTGCGGTTTTTTTTTCGTAAACCACTGTGTCTTTCAAGCCAACTAACACGTAAAAATGCTCTTGAAGCCTGCCAAATAAATGTTGCTATGACTGAGGAGCGAGTGTGAATTAATAGCATTTAGAGTGGAACTTCTACAATGACAGCTTGAATTATTCCCAAAAATCAAATAACAATAGCGGCTTTTCGTATTGACTGCTGTGTGATGGGCTTGCACCGAATGACGATGAAAGAACTCATTTGAAAAAAGTAATGATTAAAAAAAAGTAAAAATAAAACGCTATCCCTTGCAACAAACCTCACAAATTGAAATACGGTTAACTTAGTTGTGAATAAACACTTCCGCACTGGATGACGTCATGCAAACCAATTCTGAGTCGAAATATTTTACGATGCAATTATTAAAAAAAAAAAAATTACGATGCATCATTTATCAGTAGTCGACTCTCAATTATGTTTAGTCACTTCTTAATTCCTTTCCTACTCTGCCACTGCTTTTTCATGATCGTGCAAAGAGCTCATTATTATCACTTTATTTATTTGCAATTCTGGAAAATGCTTCATGATGCCAAGATGGTGACTTTAACTTGATTTATTATGAATAATATTAAAACCAAAAAAATTACACATTTTGGAGGTACCGGATTTTCTTTGGACAGAAACAACACAGAGAAATAGGGAAATGCGTAGGGAAATGCCTTCCATTTTCCAGTGTGACAGTGTACAGTGTTTTGGTTTTGTCAGCCCTTTGCATTTGTCTTGCAAAGTAAGACGTACTTCGGAAGGGAAATGTCACCTAAGGCACGAATGTTTTACATTGCGAAGCGTCTGCTTGTTTTATTTAGCTGGGCACCTCGTTGTGTTCATTGAAGACCCCGCGCACCCACTCTAAACAAATCATGCAAAAGGGGACAAGCATGTGCTTCCTTGCACCGAATGACTTGTCATGACATATTCAGAAAGATCAAACTGTTGAAGTATCGCATACGTCAAGTCATGTGCTGGTGGGTATACATTTACAAAGCGTGGAACAAGAGAACTTGGACACCAATAGGACTCGATCGGCTCTCAGGTGGACATGATACTGAGGGCCAGCTGATGCTTGCGGATGTTATGCATCCATAATCATCAGCATCACCGAGCGAACTTGGACACCAATGGGACTCGATCGGCTCTCAGGTGGACATGACACTGAGGGCCAGCTGATGCTTGCGGATGTTATGCATCCATAATCATCAGCATCACCGTCTTTGATATGTTCAAAGTCGCCCTGCGGCGTGCTCATGCATATGACTGGACTGATCATTATTGAATTCAGCCTGCTTGTGCCATTGCAGATGCAATTCCATGTTGCAATGTGAGAATAAAAAGCTCACAAACGCACACATTCATCATCCCGTTTTCTCACCAGACGCCAGCCCGTGCCCGATTTCTCAATCAAATGAGATGATATGCAAGCGCTGTGTGAAAAACGATAGCCTGTCAGAGATGATGATGCTTTAATTGACAATCGATACCCGGGTGAGCTGAACCATTATGTTGCGTGACGGGAGCAACAACGTGTTACAGGTGCGTAAAACTAGCAGAGTGATGGTCTGTCTGGGTTTTAGGGCTACTAAAGGGAACATGTGAATCACACACTGTTCATAAATCAGAGCAGCTGTCGTTTTTCAGCTCTTTTCTGACATCTAGCGAGCTCTTTTCTGACATCTAGCGGTAACCACTGCAATTTACGTCAGTGTTGCCGTTGCGGTTTTTTTTTCGTAAACCACTGTGTCTTTCAAGCCAACTAACACGTAAAAATGCTCTTGAAGCCTGCCAAATAAATGTTGCTATGACTGAGGAGCGAGTGTGAATTAATAGCATTTAGAGTGGAACTTCTACAATGACAGCTTGAATTATTCCCAAAAATCAAATAACAATAGCGGCTTTTCGTATTGACTGCTGTGTGATGGGCTTGCACCGAATGACGATGAAAGAACTCATTTGAAAAAAGTAATGATTAAAAAAAAGTAAAAATAAAACGCTATCCCTTGCAACAAACCTCACAAATTGAAATACGGTTAACTTAGTTGTGAATAAACACTTCCGCACTGGATGACGTCATGCAAACCAATTCTGAGTCGAAATATTTTACGATGCAATTATTAAAAAAAAAAAAATTACGATGCATCATTTATCAGTAGTCGACTCTCAATTATGTTTAGTCACTTCTTAATTCCTTTCCTACTCTGCCACTGCTTTTTCATGATCGTGCAAAGAGCTCATTATTATCACTTTATTTATTTGCAATTCTGGAAAATGCTTCATGATGCCAAGATGGTGACTTTAACTTGATTTATTATGAATAATATTAAAACCAAAAAAATTACACATTTTGGAGGTACCGGATTTTCTTTGGACAGAAACAACACAGAGAAATAGGGAAATGCGTAGGGAAATGCCTTCCATTTTCCAGTGTGACAGTGTACAGTGTTTTGGTTTTGTCAGCCCTTTGCATTTGTCTTGCAAAGTAAGACGTACTTCGGAAGGGAAATGTCACCTAAGGCACGAATGTTTTACATTGCGAAGCGTCTGCTTGTTTTATTTAGCCGGGCACCTCGTTGTGTTCATTGAAGACCCCGCGCACCCACTCTAAACAAATCATGCAAAAGGGGACAAGCATGTGCTGGTGGGTATACATTTACAAAGCGTGGAAAAATAAGCACAATGAGTTGTTGGAATATTTTATTGGATGCGAGATTGGCTCCACAAATGCATAGACTGTGTGTACATCACACCCACAGCAATAAAATGTGTAAATGGTTCAAAGCGGACAAGGATATCGCTGATCTGCATCCTTTTTTCAACCGTCTTCAGTTTTTTACACTCTGTCTGTCCTCGGCCTTATCAATGTCCTCAGACACCGAAAATAAGCACAATGAGTTGTTGGAATATTTTATTGGATGCGAGATTGGCTCCACAAATGCATAGACTGTGTGTACATCACACCCACAGCAATAAAATGTGTAAATGGTTCAAAGCGGACAAGGATATCGCTGATCTGCATCCTTTTTTCAACCGTCTTCAGTTTTTTACACTCTGTCTGTCCTCGGCCTTATCAATGTCCTCAGACACCGACGGTGCGTCTTGCTGTTAAAAGAACACGATTCGTATTCATTTCACCTTTATCAGTTAGTGTATCGCAAAACGGCCACCTGCTGTAACTGTCACAATACGAAGCACACCTTGCATCCTCTAACGCAGGGGTGTCAAACTCATTTTTGTCGCGGGCCACATTGTAGTGACCGTTGATGTAACATTTGAAGTGGCTGTATATCAATATCATCCATATGCGTATGAGTTGGTTTTAGGGCTACTGAAGGGAACATGTGAATCACACACTGTTCACAAATCAGAGCAGCTGTCGTTTTTCAGCTCTTTTCTGACATCTAGCGGTAACCACTGCAATTTACGTCAGTGTTGCCGTTGCGGTTTTTTTTTCGTAAACCACTGTGTCTTTCAAGCCAACTAAAACGTAAAAATGCTCTTGAAGCCTGCCAAATAAATGTTGCTGTGACTGAGGAGGGAGTGTGAATTAATAGCATTTAGAGTGGAACTTCTACAATGACAGCTTGAATTATTCCCAAAAATCAAATAACAATAGCGGCTTTTCGTATTGACTGCTGTGTGATGGGCTTGCACCGAATGACGATGAAAGAACTCATTTGAAAAAAGTAATGATTAAAAAAAAGTAAAAATAAAACGCTATCCCTTGCAACAAACCTCACAAATTGAAATACGGTTAACTTAGTTGTGAATAAACACTTCCGCACTGGATGACGTCATGCAAACCAATTCTGAGTCGAAATATTTTACGATGCAATTATTAAAAAAAAAAAAAATTACGATGCATCATTTATCAGTAGTCGACTCTCAATTATGTTTAGTCACTTCTTAATTCCTTTCCTACTCTGCCACTGCTTTTTCATGATCGTGCAAAGAGCTCATTATTATCACTTTATTTATTTGCAATTCTGGAAAATGCTTCATGATGCCAAGATGGTGACTTTAACTTGATTTATTATGAATAATATTAAAACCAAAAAAATTACACATTTTGGAGGTACCGGATTTTCTTTGGACAGAAACAACACAGAGAAATAGGGAAATGCGTAGGGAAATGCCTTCCATTTTCCAGTGTGACAGTGTACAGTGTTTTGGTTTTGTCAGCCCTTTGCATTTGTCTTGCAAAGTAAGACGTACTTCGGAAGGGAAATGTCACCTAAGGCACGAATGTTTTACATTGCGAAGCGTCTGCTTGTTTTATTTAGCTGGGCACCTCGTTGTGTTCATTGAAGACCCCGCGCACCCACTCTAAACAAATCATGCAAAAGGGGACAAGCATGTGCTTCCTTGCACCGAATGACTTGTCATGACATATTCAGAAAGATCAAACTGTTGAAGTATCGCATACGTCAAGTCATGTGCTGGTGGGTATACATTTACAAAGCGTGGAAAAATAAGCACAATGAGTTGTTGGAATATTTTATTGGATGCGAGATTGGCTCCACAAATGCATAGACTGTGTGTACATCACACCCACAGCAATAAAATGTGTAAATGGTTCAAAGCGGACAAGGATATCGCTGATCTGCATCCTTTTTTCAACCGTCTTCAGTTTTTTACACTCTGTCTGTCCTCGGCCTTATCAATGTCCTCAGACACCGACGGTGCGTCTTGCTGTTAAAAGAACACGATTCGTATTCATTTCACCTTTATCAGTTAGTGTATCGCAAAACGGCCACCTGCTGTAACTGTCACAATACGAAGCACACCTTGCATCCTCTAACGCAGGGGTGTCAAACTCATTTTTGTCGCGGGCCACATTGTAGTGACCGTTGATGTAACATTTGAAGTGGCTGTATATCAATATCATCCATATGCGTATGAGTTATGTCTACTTACCACAGAACCATCTTCTTCCTTGTTGAATGAACATGTCAGCCATTTCTTGTACTCCTCCCTAACCTAAATGCCAGAAATGGAATCCGACTTTTACAATACCCAAAACATTTTACAAACTCTTTTAACACTAAAGTGACGCGTTTTTGTTTTTTTTTTGTTTTTTGGGATCAGTCGCCACATGCAATGTGTATAACCGGTCATCGGTGGGGTCTGACCTCCTTGTTGAGCACACAGTGTACAATGTAGAGGAAGGTTCCCTGCTGGGAGTTCAGAAGGATGAAGAGGACGTGGAAGAAAAGATTGCTCTGGTATAGTCCAAGAATCCACGGACAGCCCAAGATGACAAACTGCGCCACGATCTTAAAAATAATCAACCTGCAAAAAAATTAATAAATAAATAAATAAATAAATTTAAAAAAAAAATAAATAAGTGTGTCCAAAAAAAGTTTGTAAAGGTATCCTATATTTAGAATTGTTTGGTCTAAAAGTTGAGAAGCAGAATTCCGTTTCATTCACTGTGTTCTTCATCAATGCCAATGATGACAAGCTCGGTGATAAATCCCTCCCTATCTAGTTTTGCAAACCAAGCATTAGTCCGTGTAATCATGCTTCATAGTATGGACGCTATGATGTGCTGTGAACAGATAAAAGGCAAGCGCTCTCATTTGAAAGTGTCTAATTCCTGGAATACAAAATCACCTTGTGTCTCTGGACTGCGAGACGTCACTTCTCATGTCGGCCAGAGTAGGTCTTAAACTCCATAACGTAGCACAGAACAAGATGACGTTAAGCTGGTGGAAGAAGCACAAGTCACACTGAACTTGGAATCACATCGGTGATATCTCAAAAGACGTTTATTTTGAAAGCTACGTTTGCGATTCGGGAATTTGCTTCAGAAAAGCACTCACTGCAAGGACAGTAATGACAGGTCCCGATCCAGCCCAGTTGAAGTTGCGCTCTTGCGATAGCCAGCAGCTGAAATTCACCCCGACATTAGCCTGTTTTTTCTTGTATGCCACTGTTACACATGACTCTTGAAGAAACACACACACACGCGAGTGTGTATTTCACTGCTCATGCGACTCACTCCTCGGAAATTGTGGCTCCATATCCATCGGAGTACACCAGCGCAGAAACACCCACGATCACGAACGGAACACCGTAGCCGATCGAGTAGAGCGAGAGCCTGGGAAGTCCATCTCGCTGGATCACCTGCACCCTGGAGAGCTTGCGGACCAGCAGGTGTAGCTGCAAGGCCTCCAGCAGCATCCACACAAAGCTTGCGACCACAAAGAAGTGGAGGAGTCCCGCTATGACGGTGCAGGCCAGCTGTGGAGACATCGGGAATAGCCATCAGGAGAGTTGTCAAACGTTGACAACAAAACACCAAACATCCTCCATCTCCAATAAATAATTACATTGTGATCTGAGTGGAATGAATTATGGCCAGTTCGAAACAGGAGTCGGTGTTCGCGCTTCCGTTTGAAAGCAAAAGGAAATTCCAGGGTGTCAATCAGAGGCACAGGTGTGCCTCATTGAACATGAATGGGACTGGTTAATTGTGAGCCACGTCTCCATTATGACGGGGTGTGCATACTTACGCAACCACATTATTTTAATTGTTTATTCCCTCTTGAAACGATTTGTTAAGTTGGGAAATGATTTATCTTGGTATCGTATTTTTTATATATATTTTTTTCCATAGGACAAAAACTGAATAGGGGTGTGTAGACTTCCATCCATCCATTTTCCGATCAGGCTTATCCTCCTCACGAGGGTCGGGGGTTGGGGGGGGGGGGGGCTGTAGCCTATCCCAGCTGTCTTCGGGTCGTAGGTCGGGGACACCCTGAACCAGTTGCCAGCCAAGGCGGGTGCTGTAGCCTATCCCAGCTGTCTTCGGGTAGTAGGTCGGGGACACCCTGAACCAGTTGCCAGCCAATAGCGGGGCACACAGAGGCGAACAACCATCCGTGCTCACACTCACACCTTGGGACAATTTAGAGTGTTCAATCAGCCTGCCATGCATTATTTTGGGAATGTGGGAGGAAACCGGAGTACCCGGAGAAAACCCACGCAGGCCCGGGGAGAACATGCAAACTCCACACGGGGAGGCCGGAGCTGAAATTGAACCCGGTACCGCTGCACTGTGAGGTCGGCGCACTAATCACTGGGCCACCAGGCTGCGGTGTGTCGACCCTTTTTTTTTTTAATACAGGTACCCACTTTATGCGGACTTGGCGTATGCAGCATACACGAAAGGTGTCTTTTTCCGCATCTGGCCACGTCTGTTGCACGTGATAGACTGCAGGTCTGTGTTTCGATGTACCTCATGTCGGACATATCTGTCGTTCCACAACAGCAGGAGATGGGACAAGGACAGGTTGAGACACAGGTGAAGCCGCGCCGTGTTGTTGATTTTGGGGTTCCAGCTACAAAGCAGAAAGGTGAGGATGGCCAACGCAAAGAAGAAGAGGCCGACGATGACGCACATCCGGTTCAGCCACTCTAGAAAAGAATCTTCCGGCGGCGGCTAAGAGAGAAAGGAAACTCCCAGTCTAAACCGGCCCAGTCTAAACGTCAACATTTGCTGTCAATCTTTCACAAACGGTCACACCTCGCCGATCTGCAGGATGAGGGCGAATGTGGAGAGATGAGAGCAGCTGCACACTGTGAAGTTTTCATTGGAGCGCGCAACCCAGCATCCGTCCACTGACCATCTCATTGTCTTGCTCGTTTCTCCCTTTTCCGTCTCCTCTCTTTTGTCCTCCCAGTAGACACAAGTCACCAAACCGGATTCGGGCAACATCTGATGAAACGAGAATCACCACGCCTAACCGAAAGGTTAGCAAACATTCCGCGGCGGATACGAAAAGAAGCGGCTTCGAACGAGACACGGAACCCTCTTGTGTTGAATGGTGAAGTTGACGGGCTCGCTGAGGTTGGAGTTGTTAACGGAGGGTAAGACGGCCGTGATCACGTCCGAGTACATCTCCGTCCGGTTCTCGGTTTGGAAATAACGATGACTGAGAAGACTCTCCAGACCTCGGAGTGTCATAAAGGCCACCGCGGCGGAACCTGGTGAAAAATCACAAAGAAGCAAACCCACGAATGACAACTCATTGAAGCGAAGGTTATGGCACGGGATAAAAGAGTTCACTTCGCAATTTCATTAGGATGAGAAACATGAGGGAAGAAAATTATCAGAATCTGATTCGGTCCAATCTCACCGTTGTTGTTTTTTGCCAGACTTTCGAGGTTAATGTCCATGCTGTTTCCATTTACGAAGAGGTGAGAGCCACTTTGGTCACCGCTGCCAGGCCCAATCGTCTCAAGGGTTAACGCTATAGCACACAAAAAGGTTTGGAATATATTCGTTCCATCAAACAACGTGCAGTAGAATGCCGTGAAGGTGAGAATTTCATACCCACTGTCGAACTGTTCATGGTCGTCGTGCTTTCATTCCGGCCCGGCGACACCATGGCGCTCACGAGGCGATCCGAAATGGCCAGGATCTTACTTCCCGTCTCTCCATCTCCTTCGCTGCTCACCTTGATGGCCTCGGCCCGCGGTCCGACACCCGACACCTCCTGTCGCGCATGTCGAAAGCAAGAAGCCGGTTGCAAAGCGTCAAGAAGGTTTTCCGGCAAAAACTGAAGCCGGTTGAATTGTGGAACTCGTACCATCGATGCCGAAAAGCTGTTGGCCACTGTCTAAGGAGAGAAAAGCAAAAACTTAGAGGGTAGGAGTCACCAACATCATTGCAATCAAAGAAATACAAAGTAGCTCACAAGCTACGATTTGAGATTGTCATGAAAATGCGGTGAATGCTGATGCATGGATGCTGTCACCAATTTTACAAAAACATGTCGCTTTACTGACTGGCACTGGTAAAACGATATTTGTGTTGTTCAGAAGTTGTTGGTCCATGTTGTCGAGAAACGTTCTCTCTTTTGTCCGGCCCTGTTAACAAACGTAAGCAAATTTGAACTCATATAAACAGTGTCCAGAATACATGAGCGACTACGATTGTGTCATCCTTAACTTCCCTTACCACCGGAGGAATGATCGTATTGAGAATATCCCGAAGACCTGTGGTCAGGATCATCGAAAATCACCATATTCTCGAGGAGTATCGTGATGACATTGCAGTGTAATTCCAAGCTTACTTTTACAAAAGGAGACCCCAACAATCCATAAAATCCCAGTCGAAGGGTAAAAGCCATCTGGACAGGAACAATAGAATGTCCCGGGCGCATTAGTACACACGGTTTGAGAACCGCATATATCAGGTGCCTCGCTGCATTCATCTATATCTGTACAAAAAAAATAATAATTAAAAATTGCACATTAAAACATATCAATAAACAAATAAATAAATAAAATTGATTTATTCATAGATTAAATATAGTTCAGAGCTCGTCAAGTGATATTTGACAAGTTGCACGCACACACCTGTGCAAGGGTTGGCATTGCTGGCAATCACTTCCGGGTTGTTCAGCCGGTAACCGTGGAAACAGGTGCAAATATAGGAGCCCACGGAGTTTTGCACTCATCTATATCTGAACAGACAAAAAAAAATAAATAAAATTGCACATTAAAATACATCAATCAATCAATCAATCAATCAATCAATCAATCAATCAATCAAAATAGATGTATTCATAGATTAAATATAGTTCAGAGCTAGTCAAGTGACATTTGACAAGTTGCACGCACACACCTGTGCAAGGGTTGGCATCGCTGGCAATCACTTCCGGGTTGTTCAGCCGGTAACCGTGGAAACAGGTGCAAATATAGGAGCCCACGGAGTTTGTGCAGTTGGAATCAGGACCACAGATCGTGGCGTCTTCGCTGCACTCGTCGATATCTGACAAGCATAAATTGCACACACACAAACAAAAAGGGGGATGGGGGGGGGGGTCATCTGGACACCATGAGTAACACGCATCCGCCTGGATATCACAAAGTAAGACAAGTTCCCAAATCGATGTATTCATAGATTAAATATAGTTCAGAGCTAGTCAAGTGACATTTGACAAGTTGCACGCACACACCTGTGCAAGGGTTGGCATCGCTGGCAATCACTTCCGGGTTGTTCAGCCGGTAACCGTGGAAACAGGTGCAAATATAGGAGCCCACGGAGTTTGTGCAGTTGGAATCAGGACCACAGATCGTGGCGTCTTCGCTGCACTCGTCGATATCTGACAAGCAGAAATTGCACACACACAAACAAAAAGGGGGGTGGGGGGTTCATCTGGACACCATGAGTAACACGCATCTGCCTGGATATCACAAAGTAAGACAAGTTCCCAAATCATAATCAATTTTAATCTTATATTTTTTTTAAAACGGCCTTGTCTGGAAATTTGAATGACTAATTTGGCTTACGAAGGGGATTTTATCACTCCCCCCACAGCGTGAAAGTTTACCAAGACAAATGTTTTCGGTGCTGGGTGGCTTGTCCTGCTCAGTTGGGGAGAAGCCCGCTTGACACACGCAGGTATAAAGGCCGGGTGTGTTGATGCATTCCGAGTGTGGACCACAGAGCAAAGGATCCAAGCATTCGTCAATATCTGACAATGAAACAAACAAACAAAAAAATATTTTAGATTGTGAGGAAAAATGTATGGTCACATTTTAGTCCTGAAATAAAGCAAGCTTAACGTTGGATGGATCATTGATCAAACATTCTGCTTCACGGATCGGTTACAAAAGAGTTGAGGATCACATGTGGAAACGAATAACATGGACAATTTGAAGACAAAGATTGTAATCTCACAGTTTGTAATCTCACAGTGACTCACAGTATCATATCATTAAATTATTGTGAAAGACACTTGGTTGATGATGAGGATCCAAACATTCGTCAATATCTGACAATGAAACAAACAAAAAAAATATATAAGATTGTGAGGAAAAATGTCTGGTCACGTTTTAGTCCTGAAATAAAGCAAGCTTAACGTTGGATGGATCATTGATCAAACATTCTGCTTCACGGATCGGTTACAAAAGAGTTGAGGATCACATGTGGAAACGAATAACATGGACAATTTGAAGACAAAGATTGTAATCTCACAGTTTGTAATCTCACAGTGACTCACAGTATCATATCATTAAATTATTGTGAAAGACACTTGGTTGATGATGGCCCAAACCCGAGGCGAGAGATGATTTCGGTCCACAGATGGACAATGACGGGGTTGATGCGACATTTTTGTTTGATTGCAACTTACACAATAACGATGTCTCTCACGTCTAAACATTGATGTTACATTTTTTTTGTTTTGTTTTGTTTTTTTTTGGGGGGGGGTTCAATACGCTAATGGAGATGCAACTTTTTAGAGGGTCATAATGGAACAAAAAAAAAAATAATTTTTTGTAACTGCTCATGTCTCATGAGAGAAAGATTGTAATCTCACAGTTTGTAATGTCACAGTGACTCACAGTATCCTATCATTAAATTATTGTGAAAGACACTTGGTTGATGATGGCTCAAACCCGAGGCGAGAGATGATTTCGGTCCACAGATAGACAATGACGGGGTTGATGTGACAGAAGAAGAAGATGCAACTTTTTCGAGGGTCATAATGGAACCAAAAAAAATAATTTTTTGTAACTGCTCATGTCTCATTTCCAAGTAAAAGGCACTCAATTCACGCCATGGTTTGAATGATTTTCTTATATAATTTACTTGCACATTTCAATACAGATGAAACAGTCAAACGACAACAACGATAATAATAATAATAATAATAATATTAATAATCATAATAATAAAAATCATGCTATACCTTGGCAAATAGGAATGGCATTTCTCATGTTCTGGTAACCATCATTGCATTGACATTGATAACTTCCTGCCTCATTCAAACACGTCCCATCATCACCACACACGTTTTCAAGACACTCGTCGATATCTTGCAGGGAAAAAAAAAAAAGAAAAGAACAAAAAAGGAGAGAAAGAGACTGGATCAGCTTGTACTTGTACAGTAGATAACGGCATCACGGAATGTGAATTAAAAAAAAAACATTTGCAAACAGTACCTATGCATGCGTTCTCGCCTCCAGGCGGTTGTTCCGGATTTGTTGCGTTGTATCCGACCAGACAGCTACAAGTGTATGCTCCGATTGTGTTATTACAATCGGAATTACTTCCACAAACATCTCCCGTACACTCGTCGATATCTATTGAAAGATATACAGGCATGTCATGGTAATGCCATTTGACATTTTTTTTCATACTTGTCGCCCCTCCCCCCCAATTAATAAACAAGGAAGGACTAAAACAAGCATGCTGAGATGCGTTTATTTACCGGTGCAGCCGTACGAATCCATTGTGGGCAGATGACTTGGGAGTAATTCGTACCCGTTCACGCAAGTGCAGCCTCCATCGCTGTTGCACTGTGCGAGTGGCCCACAAGAATCGTTTCTACAAACAGAATGGTCTGGAAAAAAAATTAAAACACACACACACACACACATGATCAAACAAAGAAAATGAACACAGCGATGACGTGAATCATTAAAAGTTTGGACTATCTTACAGGTTATAAAGCCAGAAGTGGACACTGGGTGACTTCTCGGTTTTAATATGTAGAATTCTCCTGGACAGAATACCACATCCACTACGAAGCTGGAACTGTCACACGATCCACTATGAATATAGCCAGTCCCAGTGTAAGCCGTTGCGGATTCCTCGGTAGGATATCCAAACGAAAAACGGGTCGGGTATTGGAAACCACCACGAGGTGCCGAGTGGCAGCCTTCCACGATTCTGTCCCCACCGATTCCAGTGAAGCGTGACCACTGACTCGAAAGGTGGCCGTCGTCGCGCGGATAGCCGCTGAAGGACGAAGATGCGAAGGCCACGTTGCGAGACGGTTCGGTCACGTTGACGTAGTTGTCACAAGAACCTGTGTGAGATCGGAAGACGTCGTGATGGTTGCATCTCATCCCGGTGGCAAACGCAAAGTATCGTTGGACCTACCGGGAGGGAAAACGCAATGTCCGGGGATGAAGAATGATCCTTGGAAAAAAAGAAAAAAACGGTAATTACAGGCCACATAGACAGACAACTAATCACGCTTGCATTCACGCTGCGACTGAGTGGAAACGGAAGCCACACTGTCTGCACCATCTTCTATACAAAAATCCAGCAGAGGAAGGCTGACACCTCACGAACGCCGCAGGTCATTTCAAGTGAGTTGCCAACTCCAGAGATTGTCAAGTGTCTCGCGATCATCATCAAACAATATCATATCATCCAAATGAACTCACCCAGGAGAAGAGCAAAGGCGCAGCGGTTCATGATGACAAGAAAACGCAGCTGTAAACCTCAGCGACTCAAAAGACGTTTGATAAAGCAGCCAACAGCTGCGCTCTTGGTGCCTTGTCACGATGCAAAAACCAATGCAAATGTATCTGGTTGTGATTTAAGAGGCAAGGTTCGGGGAGTGGGTACTTTTTAAAAAAAAAAAAATTTACTGAGGGTTTTTGTGGCGATGGTGGCGAATGATGGAAGATGTAAAAATGTCATCAAGACGGAACAACGAAAAAAAAGAAATATATTATTTGTGATCTTGTATGCACATATCCATCCATCCGTTTTACGATCCGCTTTATCCTCACAAGGGTCGCGGCCAGCCAATCGCAGGGCACATAGAGACGAAGAACCATCCGCGCTCACACACACACACCTAGGGGCAATTTTGAGGGTTCAATCGGCCTGCCATGCAAATTTTTGGAATGCGGGAGGAAACCGGAGTACCCGGAGAAAACCCACGCAGGCACGGGAATAACATGCAAACTCCACGCGGGGAGGCCGGAGCTGGAATCGAACCCACGACCTCTGCACTGTGAGGTCGACGGGGCCGCCTATGCACATATGTGTAATAAAAATATAAATAACTTCTGCAGCTCATTTTTATTTCATTAAGTGTGCACGTTTACATCTCAAAAAAAAAAAAAAAGCATTTTTCAACTATTTTTAAAAGTCACCTCAGATTGAGGTTCATCCGAATACCATCCAGACGGCCATTTTCGAGCCGAACGATGACTCATTGCTACTGATGCTAATGATGTCAGGGCTCTGATGTCTTACACACAACGTGATGTCATTTATGACTAATTAGGTATTACGACGCCGAGGGGGATTGTGTAATTGCAAGAATGCGGGAAGGATCCCCCCGGGGGCAGGTTCGTAAGACTGCCGTGTCTACTGTATGTTTGCATTGCGGCGAATGCGCGCGTATGGCCGAAAGGCACATCGACGGCCATGATTTACAGACATGGTTCAGAAGAATATGACTGCTGTACATGCGGAGGCATATCACAGCGAGCGGCTAACATTGTCCAAGAGGTGATCAAATGACATCAGTTTTATCTTGCTCTTCACATGACGAGGGCTCGGATATTTCAAAAGCAAAAAAATTACCACTTTGTTAAACTTGATCAACAGGGATGTCAACCAATTTGATCCGGATGTCGCAACGGAGGAAAGTAACTCATGGTGGAACCGACTTTTGGGCTGTGAAAAAGTGGCCAGTTTTAATTGTCTGAGGAAATTAAGCCGACTCAAAACTGTGAAACCAAGCAATAAATGCATCTGTCTCTCAAAGACAAAACCAACAAGTCCAGAAAATGAGAGCCTGAGGTAACTACAAATTATTCTCCATTTGCCTTCCAATATAACAAAAACAACTTTGACTTTACTTGGCCCCACAGTTGCAATGGCTCAGAAATAGAATGCGCTGCAAGACGACAACACCATTTTTTTCAGTGGTGGGAATGTTGGAGGGTCAGTTTGACAAAACAAAAAAGCACCATCGCATTGACTCAATGAGTTGCACCTAATCTGATCTAAAACTTGCTTCTTTCTTCCAAAAGAGATTCTGTGTCTTCCCTGAACGACAGAGACTTCAAGAGCACGGTAGCTCCACCTCTCACCGGGACAGGGTGGAAGTGTGTGAAAGCCTGCCAGTGAAAAAGAAAGTACTGCAGGTGTCACTTCAAGAAGACAACCGAACCACGAGCACCTCATGTCACACAGAACTTCCTCCCAAAGAGTCGGATTGGGGCCCGACACAGAATACGGCTATCGTCCAAAGCCTCAGTGGTGAAAATCGCCCTCTGGAGTAAGTAAAGCGCTCTTCCATTCATTCAGAAAATGCTGACTTGCTTCAGAGTTGGAACTTTCTCCAGAAAAATGAGGCGGACGATTCATACAATTCAATCCATTTTACGTGCCGCTCGTTCTTTTAAAAGAGTTGCAAGGGTTAGGAGACTTGGACTGGTGGGGGCGTGGGGTGGTTGCCAGCAATCGAGCCTGTACAAGTTGCGTCAAAGTAAGCTATGTGAACTACTACACTCGCAATGTTCAGTCTGCTCAATCGATGTAAAAATTGGCTTTTCAGTCTAGTGTGATTTACAATTCACCACTCAGGTGCCATCACCAAATCACTGTCAAATGAAATTAAAAAATAATAATAATACAACCATTCGATTGCATTTGTCGTATTGGCTGCTGATCACTGCCTGGCACAGATTCTAATCCTGCACAATGAAAACCAAAAAAAGATTTCTTGCCTCAAGATATAAGCATGAAGAACAACATTCACGTCTGGTCTCCTTCAACAGGGATATCATCGAAGATGACATCACTCCCGTTAACAATAACAAGTGGCGCTGGTGGCGGAAGGTGAGTTTGACACAAAGCGCACCATGTGATGCAATGCATTCGTACTCAGTGTTAGCGGTTTTCAAGAGTATTGAGAATTCTGAGAAATTGACAGCGCTCTTGGTTATCTTCAGTGATAATAGCAAGATATGCACTTGATGACATTCATTATTAAAAACAACAACAACTTAGTTCATTCGTCCATTTTCCATACTACTTATTCTTTTTGGGGTTATGGGAGCTGGAGCCCGGAAAAGATGCAAAATGTATCCAATATGGAGCTCAAAGCAGATTGAAATTTGTCATTTGCACAGAGAGGTCAAGTGGCGCCCAATCCTAAGGAACAATGCCATCCAAAGCAGAGCCTCAACTCTTCTCACCAGGAAAAGCCTGTGGTGTTGGGAGGCCTCGAGGAAAGGAAGACAAGTTGGAAGATGAGGAGGAAGAAATACAATCAAACCGTACAAGCCACATCCATCACGCCAACCCTCAGACTTCAGCAGCTCAAATATCTTGGGTGGGTCTACCAATTTGTCGATTTGTGCCTTTGCTCACACCTCGAGGGTCTGGTGATCAGTCCAGAGCGTAGTGCACCCTGCGCCCTAAATGAACTGCAATAGGGTCGATTGATGGAATGATAGGTCGATAGCACATCTCCTCCCAAGAAATTAACTGGGAGGAAGAAAAGTTAGATTTTCGGTTTTGCCTTTCAGGCTTCCTAACCCGGCACAGATCTGCTACATGAACGCCAGCCTGCAGAGCCTCCTGACTCTGGAGGATTTTGTTGAAGGCATCAACTGTCAGAAGCCGGTCTGGAGTTTAAGTCCTGAGGCTGCGCTCATAAGGTAAGGCGTAGAAAGACGTACGGACGGTAGGTCTGATTGCTAGTGGCACACTCTACACTCACATTCTTTGGTTTTGCCCTCTCCAGATCATTTATGAACATCAGCGCATGTCACAGCTCCAGAAATATCGAGCTGAAAATCCGCTGCCTTTATGCATTCAAGAACACCGTCTCCCTCTTGGCGCCGGAGTTTCAGGATCTCTGCCAGAAAGTAACGACATTCAGGAGTGGATATGGGTTTTGTTTTGTTTTGTATTCCATTTCATCATCCGCGCACGCATTCTTACAGGATGCACACGAGTTCCTGACATCTGTACTTGATCAAATAAGAAATCTGAAGCTGGCGCAGCAGAAACTGGCCACCAAGATGGGAAAAGCCTACTACTGTCCCGTGGAAGAGCACTTTGTGTTCAAGATGCAGAACATCAGGATGTGCTTGAGGTAAAATTACAAAAATAAATCACATCACCCACAGCCAAACGAGTGTTGGCCTCCGCCACATCCAAGGAATTTTCCCGTACCTTAGATGTAACATGACATTTTCCAAAGAGGAGGAATTTACAAACCTGTCCCTGGACCTGCTACCCGGTTGTGGAACAGTGGAGGAAATGCTTCAAAATTACCTGAAGGTAACCAAAGACATAAGACACCCAGTGACTTGTTGCTGGCCAATCCAAGGGAGTGAAAGAAGGCTATTCTCCGGCTTTTGTGCAGAAGACACAGGTGGAGTTTCAATGTGAGTGTGGTTCCAACACATCATTGCAGAACGCTTCCTTTATTAGCCTTCCAAGGTAAATCACATTTTATCCACCTCTAGAATGACTTCATATCTGAAAACGACTGAAACAGGAAACCCTGTGAGTCGTGTATTGTAGATGTTAAAAAACTAGCTATTCCCTTCCCCCGCTTAGTTATTAATCAGTCTCCCCCCCCCCACCCCCATCTTACAGAGTGCTGGTCTTGCACCTGAAGCGCTTTGTATTTTTTTCAGTGTTTGGGTCAATAAAGGTCCGCCGGCCTGTTTCGCTTTCCAAGGACCTGGTGCTCCCATCGAAACTGGTAATGTGAGACAACAACAACCTGAAAGCAACAAGTTATGCATGAAAAATCTGTGAAACTCACATTCAGACTGTCGGTTCTTTACAGGGTGGGGCCTGCTACAGTTTGGTGAGCATCATCAATCACAATGGCTTTACAACAAGCAGCGGTAAGATAATCGATCTAACTATGCTTTTTTTTTTTTTTCCATTCACAAGATTACACAACTAAACATAACCAATTTTGTGCACGTGAACATCCTCATTCAAGAAAGAGGCTGATATTTCAATGTTATTTAGGGCACTACATCAGTGATGGAGTGGATCCAGCAGTGGAAGAGGAGGACCTGACGGATCGCTGGCTTACCTACAATGACCTAGATGTCCAAGAAACAAGTTGCGCCTCTGTATGCGACAAGCGGCAAACTACTGCCTATGTCCTATTTTACAGAAGGCATGAGTAGGACGAGCAACTCAAACACCGCAATGGTGATAGGTGCTTTGCTCCACTCTTACTCCTAGGGTCAAGTACCCAAAAATCGGCTGAGGCGGCTGGAATTGCTGGCCCTAACTCCAAGGGGTACATTACAGTATGTAAGCACTGGTATGTGACATGTTTACAAGGAATGTTTCTCTGTTCGAGTCACTCCGTCTCAAATATTTTACAAATGTGTCAGAGTTGACTATTTTTACCATTTTCTATATTTAACTCGTGATCTCGTACTACGGAACCTTTGTTCGTACTTGTTTCCAACCCGCAACATTAACGCACGGACCGAAGAGTGCACCGTTAAATTTCCGCCGTGCCAACAAACGCATCGTCTTTGAGTATGCACATCGTAAATATAATTTACCTTTCTGTTTCCTCTTAGGTATAACGTAAGTTAGTAATGTCCATAAAATGCCGTAGAACATCGATGGCATCGTTGCAGTTGATTTAGAATCGGTATCTTAAATTGATGGCGCAAACAGTACCGCCCAGTGAATTATAAATATATTTTCCGATGCGTAAAATTAAATTGGAAATCTTTAAAATATTCAGGCAATTAATTTTCCTAAGCGAAGGCGCCGCGTGAATTACTTGAAAGGTTGTCGAGTGCCAAAATAACATGCTGACCTAAATTGTGTTCAAGATTAGTTTAATGTCTTTCTCTAAAGCGGCATATTGGTTTCGTGTCTTTACATAAAGCAGTAAATATTCGTGTCGAAATCGTATTTGTTTTCCTTGGTCGAAATAACAAACACGTTAACATTTGGCACTATTTAATACCGAACCAGCAATAAAAATAATAAATAATGAATAAACACCAAGTATGCATACTGGAGTAATGATGATCTCATCTCAATTTACTCACAAATGAATTACTCGGTGTGACTTTTTTTTTTTAACACAAAGCTACTTAACACACACGAAGCCTTGATTTATTCTTAATTGTTAACCATACTTCTACTTTTCTCTTTGAAGTGTACCTCGAAGTTGGAGTCAAAATAACAAATCATGGCATCGCTGGTGAGTAATGGTTTATGGCGTGGTGACATGAAGCTTCCCTCTAACTGCAATCATTGGGACTTATTTTTATTTTGTTACAATGTATTTGGTCGGCTACTGATTTGGGAGATAGGGGAACAATGGAACACTGTCAGAAAAACTGCTTGTGTTACAGGGGAGCAGCAGTTCTTCCGGCACTGAATACATTGTGCGAGTGCCTAAGTGAGTAACACACAGCGGCATTCAATGTCCTGTAGATAATCACGAGAACATACCTGGATCCCGAAATGTGACTTGTTGTGCATCAATATATGTTGCTCAATCACTGATAGGCGTTTAAAAGAGTGTATTCGTCCCCCCCTCCTCCCATCCCCCCATAGAAATACTAACAAGAAATACAACATCATGGCTTTTAACGCCGGGGATAAAGTCAACTGTTCAACGTGGACACAGGTAAGTTGAGCAATTGTTTACCTCCAATAATGTTGAGGCCCAATGGAATGACAGTCTTGGCGATTAGTGTTGACAGATAATCTCGTGTTGTGATTGCACCATAATATGAAGAGAATCTAAATTTTTAGTCATACCTATCTGAACCCCTTCCCTCAGGCTCGTATGGAGAGAGACATGAGTGCTCGGAAGATATATGGTGAAGAAGAGACACCGGAGGGGGCAGCTGGCAGCGAGTTTGGCAAAAAGCAGCGCGAGGAGGCGCGGCGGAAGAAGTTTGGCATTGTCACGCGGGAGTTCAAACCGGAGGACCAGCCTTGGATTCTTAAAGTCAACGGCAAGGCTGGAAAAAGGTGTGATGGAAAAACACTTTATCCTTTTACCGTTGGCCATAACTTCTAATCATTAGAACGAAACCTCAACGACCCTCTCTCTCTGCCTGTCGATACAAGGTTCAAAGGTCTGAAAAAGGGCGGCGTCACAGAGAATGCGTCCTACTACATCTTCACCCAGTGTCCCGATGGAGCCTTTGAAGCCTTCCCTGTTCACGGCTGGTACAACTTCACTCCGGTGGCGAAACACAGAACTCTCACTGCGGAGGAGGCTGAGGAGGAGTGGGGCAGGTGAGAGCGGGCAAAAGAGACGAGAGTGACAAAGTTCCTTAGTTTTCCTGCCGGTTCAGATAGTTCTTACGTTTTTGTTACACGCACAGGAGGAACAAGGTGGTGAACCACTTCAGCATCATGCTCCAGCGACGTCTCCGCGAGCAAACGCAGGGTGACGAGGAGGAGGAGGAGAGCGAGAAATCGGCCAAGAAGAAGAAGGGCGGCGGTCGAGGTGGCGACCTGCGCATCCACGACATGGAAGATGACTTTGAGATGAGCAGCGATGACAGCGACAACAGTCTGGGCGAAGGTTGTGGAGGAGCGCCCTCGACGGAAACACAAGTCCCTGCTGGCGGGCAACATGCATCATGAACATAAACGTTGTTGCTTTTAGATGGAGAAGGCAAGACCAAAGCAAAGAGTGAAGCGGGGAAAGGAAAATCAAAGAAGAAGAAGAAGAACAACGACAAAGAGGCTTTGGAAGACAGCGATGATGGTGACTACGAGGGTCTCGAGGTGGATTACATGTCAGATGAAAGCAGGTCAGATCCGTAGCATGAAATCTTTTTTTTTTTCTTCTTCTTCTAAATTATTTTTTTACTCAAAATGTAGGATTTCTTTACATAAGACCCGCTGCGCACCAAGCGACACGGCCAAATGCGACTTAAATGGACCGTCGTGAAAAAAAAAAATAACAGTTGGCGAATCAAATTGTATTTGTATTTATTTATTTGTAATTGAACCACTAAAACATGGTGTGATTGTCAATCAAAAATCGGATTGTTCCAAAAATGCCTTTTAATAAATAATTTATTTTGTCCTCTACAAGCAGTTCGGATGAAGAACCTGAAAAAGGAAGGCCCAGTAAAGGAGAAGACATCCCTAAAGGTCAACGCAGTATATCATGACGGTCAAACGTTTCAGAGATATGTCGTCTGTGATTTTACTTTTTTTTTTTTTTTTAACTCAACAGGGATTGATGAGGCCTCAGAAAGTGAGGAAGAGAGCGAAGAGGAGAAACAGAACGAGGAGGAAGCAAAGGAAGAGGAGGAGGAAGAGGAAGGAAAGAAAACACCAGCACAGGCAGAAAAGAAGAAGAAAAAAGGTACACGCCTCACAGGGACAAAACCTTAGCGGTTGTCTCCAAAATGTACTTATAGTATTTAAAAAATCAACAACAACAACCCCCCCCTTTCACTGTGATGCTACAATAAGAAACAGATTTTAAATAAATACCGCTCTGATCTTTGAAAAACAAAAAAAAAAAAAACGTTTGCCTAATGGGAAGTGTGTTTTCACGTTTCGTAGACAGCAGCGGCGAATCAGACAGCTCGGACGACAGTGACATCGAGGGAGAAACGGCCTCCGCTTTATTTATGGTGGTTAGTGTGTGTGTGGATGAATAAGTGACTTTTTTTTTTTTGCTTCAAAATATAGATTGTCAGTTGGATGAAACATGACTGCAAAAAAAAAAAACAAACTAAATATTGAAGAGAATACGTGTACCCACAATGAATCTTCTTGTCCCTCCTCCTTTGTAGAAGAAGCGCACTCCTCCTAAGCGCGGGGGTGGACGCGGCTCTGCCGGGAGCTCCAGAACTGGCAGCCGGCCGGGAACGCCATCGATAGACTCCGCCGCAACCTCCAACACACTTCGCGCTGCTGCCAGCAAGCTAGAGCAAGGTGACTTCAAGCATGACCAGTTGGGATGTGTTACAAATATCTTAGAAATGATCTGCAAGGTCCAAAAATAGGTGTTTTTGTCCTATTTCCTACAAAATCAACAACACCCTATATGCCCCCGATATCTTTCCGGGGGCACGCTTTTCAATCGTTTCCATATTCTCATCAATAAGATCGGACTTTCCAACAGGTAAAAGACAGACGCAAGGTCCAGGGACCGACTCGCCAGCTGCCAAAAGGCTCAAGATGGACCCCAGCGGTCAGAGCCCTTGCCCCTCTGGGAAGAGCACGCCTCAACCCCCATCGGGAAAATCTACTCCCAGTTCCAGGTACCGTTTTATCGCACGTCTTTTTACACCTCCCTTGTTGTCACTTCATCTTGAAATTACAATCACGATAAATGAAACGGTGTTGGGAGCTGGCTTGAACTTGTCTTTGCCGTCCCGCCGCGCCCGCAGCGACGTACAGCTCACAGAAGAGGCGGTCCGCCGCTACCTAATCCGGAAACCGATGACCACCAAAGACCTGCTGAAGAAATTCCAGACCAAGCGCACTGGCCTGAGCAGTGAGCAGACTGTCAACGTGCTGGCGCAGATTCTGAAACGCCTCAACCCGGAGCGCAAAAACGTCAACGACAAAATGCATTTTTATCTCACGGAGTAAACGCGGGATGGGGGCGGGGCTAGAATAGGCTCCAGATCCCCTCTGACCCTTTTGAAGACTAGCGCTGGAGAAAATGGACAGAAGTGGATGGAGGGAAGTGGAGAATCATTTTGTAGTGTGTTTTCGTGATTATGACACCAAAGCTGGAGATTAATTGCTACACATGTAGGTGACATTTTTTTTTTTTCCATTAACGTCATGTATAGCAACAGAACTCGTGTTGAATGAAAAGAAACAATTGCTGTTCACAACTATGAACGTACATGATAGAATCAAGTTGTTTTCTAATAAAACTTACAAACCAATATAAGGGTCTTAGACGTCTTGTCTTTTTTTTAACGAAAGTATTTCAGTCGTTGTAGTGAATTTACAGAATCATAATATCGGTTTCACCAGCAAAGTGCCGACGTCAGGCCAAAACCTCCCATGTCACAATTTGGTAAATTTCACATTTATGCCATAAATCTGTACACTGAGCACAAATTATTGACCAATCTAAAGTGCTGAAAATGCTTACTGTCTTTGATGATGAAGTGTTAATGGTTGAAGAAAAAAAACAAGAGGTATGAGGATTCCACTTGATGAGGACAAAAGTTAACCTGAAACTAAAGGCTTTGGCTCAGTGTGCCCATAGTAGTTCGTTTCAAGCAATAACACTGGCGCAGTCAGACGCGGGTAAAAAAAAAAAAAACTGAACAGTACACCCAAAGAGCTTACTTCACTGGCATTCAAATATCTCATGTGAAAGCCTTCAGACAAGTACACGTTTATCTTCAACCACGGTTAAGTCAAAACGCCTCCACGTGTGACTTGAAATTACCTTACAGAGGACGGCACTTTTTGATAGCTGTTGTTACAAATTATTGACCAATGTAAAGTGCTGAAAATGCTTACTGTCTTTGATGATGAAGTGTTAATGGTTGAAGAAAAAAAAAAGAGGTATGAGGATTCCACTTGATGACGACAAAAGTTAACCTTAAACTAAAGGCTTTGGCTCAGTGTGCCCGTAGTAGTTCGTTTCAAGCAATAACACTGGCGCAGTCAGACGCGGGTAAAAAAAAAAAAAAGACTGAACAGTACACCCAAAGAGCTTACTTCACTGGCATTCAAATATCTCATGTGAAAGCCTTCAGACAAGTACACGTTTATCTTCAACCACGGTTAAGTCAAAATGCCTCCACGTGTAACTTGAAATTACCTTACAGAGGACGGCACTTTTTGATGTTGAGAAGTAATATTCAATAATGCATTTAATTGTGAAGGAGCCTGTTAATGTAATTCCATGAAAATATGGACTCAGAACATACTTGACACACCTAATACCGTATTTTTATCAAATACAAATCAAGTCTTGCACACATATCCAATGAAGGCCACTTACATTGTCTTTGGAGCTCAGGTAGAATTCATATCCCATCTGAGCTGAAGTGCATTTTAAGCCGGAAGGTTCCGACAAATAACAGCGATGCGTCGCTGTCGAGGCACTCTCTGTCCATTAAACAAAGACTCCTCATCTTTTAAGATCTCGTGAGTGAAGTCGTATCTGGCCCGGTCCCTGTAATATGAGAGGAGAGAGACATGAGTACCAAAGAGACTATAACCCCAAGTAATGTGCTTTCAGTGCTGAACCTTAGAATGTAGAGCGAGCGTCGAGGCAGCAGCATGTCTAGCCACTCACTTGGAGCATCATTTTTGACTAAGCGCATGACGCTATCTGAAAGAAGACTCAACCCGGTAATGGTGCTGCCACAGAACTGTAAAAAAAAACAAACAAACAAAAAAAACATACAATTACACAAAACAAGTGCACAGTTGTTTTCAGAGACTGTGCAGCTCCAATTGTCTTTGTGAAACTGAATGAAAGTTATTGACCTTGACACTGTCAATGTGAGGCTTGATATAGCCGGCTTTGTCCAGATCGAGGACGTGGACGGGCCCAAGAAGTGAGCTTCCAGAGGCAAACGCGACAGATCTGACACGGGCTATGATGGTCTGACACGCTGCCCCCCACATCACACGTTCGGTTTCTCTGTATCCATGAATAGCCTAAACCAGAGGAGGTGAATACAGAAAGCATGTTTGTGGGGCTTTCCGTTCGGCTATTAGGTAGTTTGCTTTGCAATTTGTTATCTTAGTCTTATCTATTTTAGGACTGAAACGATCTTTTTCGCCAACTCAATTCTACAGCGAGTCAGTGAAATTGAATTCAGGTATTATCTAAGAAATAGGACTTACGTCATCCCAGTGATCAAATTCGTAACGTTTCTTCTTCAAACCAGGTTCCAGCTCCCGCAGAAGTTCAGCCTCCTCGTGCTCGGTGATGAAGTCTGTCCTAACCTCCACCTGTGTCCCGACTCTGTGCACCAGATCCCGGCTTGACCCGACTATCACCAGCGGCCCTTCTCCTTCGGCTTTCAGGCCGCTGTCTGCCAAAGAGCTCGGATAACGAACGAGACTTTTGTAAAACGCTGCCTTAGGGACACTTTTCGCCACATTCAGTAACAGTGTCATATTCTTGTCCGAAATAAAAGCTTTGTTATGGTGTGTACAGGTCCAGTATTACGTTTTGTTTTTTTTTTTTGCTGTTCTGAGATTCATACATCAATTTAGGACGCCATATTGAAAATGCAATGCATTTTGGGTAACGTCGTCACATGAAAAATAGTGATAGTACAGTTATCCAATATGACCACACGAGGTCAGTAAATATCCTTATTTTAAGATCACGTCATTTTTCTTTTTTTCTTTCTCTCTCTCCTTTTTTTTCTTTTTTAGGCTCAAAAGTACCTTTCTAAATAGGAAAACACCAAAAAGAAGAGACGTTTGGTTATGCACCCACACCACCTTTTCACATAAACGCCACAGAGTTCAACATGTATAAACCCTGCGCATTATTGTCTTTGCAAAGGTTTAGTTTTTGCTGGTCGACCTAAATAATTTCATCTTTCCACGTTTTTTTTAAATCCATAAAATACACTAGTTCAGGAAAACCTCATGTTTGTGAAGGATAACATGACAAGTCTCCCCCATGGTGCATTATACGTGTAGGGAAAACTTGTTCGATAAACTGATGACTTCATCCTCACGAAAGCTGACCTAAGGAAAAAAAAACTGACAAAAGAAAATGACCCACTTAGCACTCAGGACATGTAACCTTTTCTCTGCTCGCTGTGTTGTTTCAGAAAAAAAAACTGATGTGGTGGTCCACAGAGAATGTGGAGAACAATAGATGGTTCACCTTGTACCAAATCATATTAAAAATGGAATTTTTGGAGCCGATCTGCATTGAGATCTCTTGTGCCAAGATTGAGACATTAATGCAGTGCGATAATTCAGGTCTTAAACCTGAGGATCTAGCGTGAAGAATGAACCATTACCACAGCTTTATTCACACTCGATATTAAAACATACATTATGCTTATGATACACGGAACGTGCATGTTCAAAAAACATTGCTTATGCAAGGATTATTAGTGGTCCATCCGTGAGCCTGTTGGCGGTCCGGTCAGTGACCATCTGCAATAAAACTTATATCCCCACTCCAACACGCGCACACACACACACACACACACACACACACACACACACACACACACACACACACACACACACACACACGCGCGCATACGACTGATGTGCTGCCCACTTCATTGGTGAATGCCATCCCGCTGCCCCCAGCCTTAGTCATCCTTCTGTTTTCATTGTATTATAAGTGGATCCGAATGTAATTAAAATAGATTTCAAAGGCTAAATAAAAGCGGCCAGCAGAAGGCAATTATGTGATGCTCTGACAACATGCTGGCAGAGATGTATTTTTCGGGGTTGTGCAAAATATTAGGCATCATGACAATCAGCCAGCGTAACCACGAACCAATGCAGTTGGTGTTTAATGTGTCGTGTCGCTGATGACATGTCAAGGAAATCCAACTTCAGATATTCCTTTCTTCATTTGTTGTCTTTCCACTGTAATATGATGCTGACTGATATTGGTCTCAAACATCCAGATTTTTCTTTGCACTGACGCGGATTCATCTCGCAGAGGTTTACATCTCAAAGTCTACATCGGATGGAATGGGTTCAGCAGGGGCGGAGTGCCCTACAAGCATCCAGCCATTGAATTATTCAGTCTTATGAATCATTGAGACACGACACTCCTTTTTCGGCCTCTCTTCACATCTCAAGACACAGCCAGCTCCCCACCATTTATTTATTTCTTTTTTTTTTACATTGACCGAGAAATACCTACACGGCAATCTGAAGGGCTTGTCTTGTCTTCGGGTCACTGTTGTGAAAAGGATCATTACCGAAGGTACGGTGTTCTGCTGGAACGACAACCAGTGTTGTGTTTGCGGCAAACGTACCTTTTGGAATGACGGCCAAAACTTTGAGGCTTCAGCCAGAAATCAAAATAAAATGTCAGGAAGAGCCAAAAAAGAACAACTGAATTTAAATGTGATTGGTTCATTTGCAAAAAGTGCGGACATTTGTACACATTTAAGTATGTTTTACCATCCAACCTCCCTCCCCATCCGTCTATCCACCCGTGCATGCAGCCAGCCATCCAGCCATCCATTTTAGACTGTCCGCATGCCCTTGTAGTGGGGTCGCGGAGCCTCTCACAGTCGGAAGCATTGCGTAAATGGACACAAAGCTAAACGATCGCTTTGCTTTCTGGCGTATCGGATAGACGTTTAAGGTCGTGCTGTTATTGATTGTTGTCTCCGCCAGGAAGGTTTCTCTCTCGCTTCAATCTCCAGCAAGGGGGTGAATTCATTCTCCCGGTCACCCTTAAATATGTATCGTCATTTCCCATTCACGGAGGCAGCTATTTCTGGAGTCAATCAATTCGGAAACATAATAGATTTCAAAGAAAGATTGTGTTTGTGGGCTAGTTTCTCTCATCCTTAGAAGAGGGACTCACGACAGAATACCCCCCCCCACCCCTTTTTTTCAAACATTTGCAGTACATACATGCACGAGTAATGCTTTGGTCACAACTCATCGCTAGTTATATCCCCGATGGACAGGGACTCAAATGAATTGCTTAAAAGGCTTTGATTCGATGATGCAAGAATGTGTTTAAAGTTCGAGCTGCGGGGGTCACAAGGTAGTCGAGAACACTACTACTCTACTACCGCAATGTGTTTTTGTCATCGCCGACATTTTGCAGCTGGGGTGATTGCTCCCACTGCTTCGCCCAGGCAACGAATGCCACTGCAGTTAAATTTGTAGGCAGAATTGCTTCTAAGGCTTTGATTCGATGATGCAAGAATGTGTTTAAATTTGTGGAATGTGCAGTGTGAATGGTTGTTTGTCCGGCGACCTGCGCAGGGTGCGCACCACCTCTCACCAAGTCAGCGGGGATCGGCTCAGCACGCACCCGTGATCTTAATGAGGAGAAACAGACAAGAAAATGGATCGGTGGTACTCAGCAGCTTGTGCCATAAATTGCTCCTGTGTGATTCTATGGTTATCATCTCACTTTGGCTCTCTGGTACCTTCACCACATCACTGGTACCATCACCACAATCAAACACACTTGCATTGACCGAGCAGACGTCTCAGAAAATGTCAACGACACACCTGACATTGTTTAAACTCTCAAGTTTGGTTTACTGAGACCGAGAATTCTTCACAGGGGAAAAAAAAATTGTCCTACAAATCATCGCAGGCGCCACTGTATGTTGTGCATGATCTGTGCATGTCCTGGCAAATGGTCACACCTTGCGAGCGCGGGAGGAGGGGAAGGAAGGTGGCCAACTTGGGGAGGGGTGAGGTGGAAAGAAGAGCGCTCTCCTCCTCCATTAATTTCCAAATGTCTGTTACTAAGAATAGCCTCCCTCCTCCTCTTTCCATCTCCGACAAACACAGCACTCGCATGCGCCGTTGCAGGTGCGCACGTGTACGTGGCACACACAACCAACACCCCTTTTTGCTCTGCGCGTGCATTTGGCAATTTCTATGCGCATTGACGTGAATTTGGGAATACTGATTCGAGGGGGGGGTCGGCATTTTTCATCATTGTGGCTGACATGAATCGGTGTTTGGTTTGAGAGCTCCTGAGGCAGCCATACGCGTGTGCAAGTCGGTGCTTGCGTCATAATGCATGTGCGGCTGGTATGGCGCACACGTAAGATGCGCGGCGGTGTAGTTTAGAGCCGCTCCGCTACTATCGCGTCTTTTCATTCTTGTCTCGATCCATCCATCCATCCATCCCTCCATTCCTGCGTCCCTCTCCTTCTCTCCTCCCCTTGGGGCTGCTGGTGGAGGAACCCAACCCCCCACCCCCGACCACCCCCGCGCCACCTCCACCATACACTCGGACCAGAGCGAGGCTCGAGCAGGACATCCAAGCGATCCAAGAGGACGGGAGGTTCGACTTTATCACGGACACGGCGAGAGAGACATTGTCCATGGGAGGGTTGTTGTAAGACGACGGGGAAGATAAAGATGCCGTCCCACGCGTGTCTTTGAAGCCGCGTCCTCTCCGTCCGTGGATGGCTCGGCAGGTGTTGCAAGCAGGGAGGAGGATGCCGTTCGCCGCTCTCATCTTCACTACGACGGCATGGACATTTTCAAACATGGAATTCTCCGCCTTTCCCATTTTGCACGGCGTTTTGTATTTCTAAGCTAATTACGCCCCCCCCCCACCACCACCACCACTCCGTCTTGTTCGGCGTTCGAGGCTTGTCAGATCCTCCACTTTAAGGTAAAATTAGCAGTGGCACACTGCCACGTTCTCGCAACACGACCAAATATTGCGGATATTTGAGAAATAATGAAATAATGATGGTAGGATTTGATTTCCGATGGTTTTTAAGTGAACGGCGGTGGTTTCAGGGGGAGAAGAATTGCACCATCTGACCACTGAACGTTTGAGCCGTTTTTTCACATTCGATGCCGTGAATGTGATTTATTAGGCCCGTGCCGTTTGAGAGGCGTCTGTACTGGCATGACATGTTGTCATGACAGTGAGGAACTAAATCTTGTGGCGCCCGTGGAGCTGTTCTGATGCGGCAGGCACGACGGCGGCTCGTTTTGAATAAGTCCCCATGATCTGGTGGTGGGGGGGAACCTCCTCAGGGTTTGGACGGATCCAAGACGACTGTAGGACTTGAGACGCCCTTCAGCGGGAGCAAAAGACCAAACGTTTGATTCCCTACCACCCGCGCCTGGCCCCCTCGGCAAAGACGGCCGGACAGGGAAGGCGGTCTCTACGCGGGCCCCTCGGGTTTCTCAGACCAGAAGCTGCAGAACCTCGACCCATTTAAGCGTATGAGATGTTCTGATCCGGCTGGGATGTAATGTGTGGCTGTGCAGCTGAGCACCGGTCTCCTTCTCCGCTGCTTCGTCAAGATTGGCTTCTGGTTTCCAGAGAATGGCGCGGTTTGGTGACGAGGTACCAGCCAGGTACGGTGGAGGGGCCGGCGGAGGCGGCCCAGGCGGTCGTGGTGGAGGCAGACAGGGAGGACCGCACGGACACGGACACGGTCACGGGCACGGACATGGCCACGGACACGGGCATGCCCACGGGCACGGGCTGGCCCACGGTCCACCCGGGGGACCGGGAGCCCAGAGAATGTACAAGCAGTCTATGGCGCAGAGGGCCCGGACGATGGCCTTGTACAACCCGATCCCAGTACGCCAGAACTGCTTCACGGTCAACCGCTCCTTGTTTATTTTCAGTGAAGACAACTTTGTGAGAAAATATGCCAAAAAGATCACCGAATGGCCATATCCTTTACCCGCACCGTTGTCAGCGCGACCCCAATGGAAAGCAGGTAGGCAAATCGCGATGGAGTGAATGACGGCGGCCCAACCAAAATCCCTATCCGTGTGACTGAGGCTGGACTTGTCATTCACGCTTCATGAAAAGGTGGCGGCAGAAACTCCGGCCCCCTTTTTTATGAGCTGTTGATCAGCGTCAATCACTTCTGTTCGTAATTCCACATCACATCAGGTGGGAGCTTGATATATGATCCCTGAATGTTCTCTGTGAGTGTCTCTGAGTGTGATTGTGTTTTGATGCAGATAGGAGAGGGGCGGGATGGAGGGGGGGGGGTCGTATCTAGGGGGCGCTGCTGGTTTGCTGATGTCAGCAAGTACAGATTAGGAGAAAGAAATGGGGAGAGGGGAGGGGAGTGGGGCAATGGTGACAACAAGCATCTTCGGTGCGAGGGTGTACGGAGTATACCGGTGTTCAGTGATTTATGGGGAGAAAGGTCCGTCCATATGGTTACGTCATTGAGGCCTTTTGTGGTTTGGGGACCAAAAAAAAAAGCAGGTGTCTCCATGAGAGCAACGAGAATTGACTTGCGTGTGTGGCGTGCGTGTGTTTGTGTGTGTGTGTGTGTGTGTGTGTGTGTTTGTGTGTGTGTGTGTGTAAACTTCTATGACACAAGCTTTCATATCACAATTCTGCAGATGTCTTTCTAGTTGTGGCTTGTGTGAGCATGAAGGCATGGCCATCTTTTGAATTTTTAAAACCGTTTAAAAAAAACACATATATATATATATATATTAATTGTAAAACTAAACAGGACGGAAATGTATTCACATTTCCCTCTCTACGTGTGCATACGCGTGCGCAATTTCATCACTCGGTAATCTGCACATTGCACCATTCTGTAGAAATGAATGGAGAGTGATTTCTCCCATTTTGGAGCGGCGTGGGATGTTCGTCTGAATCCGCGTCAGTTAAAGTTTGTGCCTTGCGAGTGTTCATGACGTGAGTTGAAATTGGAGCAGCGATTGTCATCGATTGCCGTCGCGGTTTGAGCTGTGACGTCACCGCGCACGCTAATTGGGCTGCTCTATCGTGAAAGGCAGGAGCTACTTCTGTTTATGACTAACCGTCTATTTACAAAACAACGGAGCTATTCACAAGGCGTCTGAGGTTGCCTAACTTGGATTTCGACTTAGAAACGGTCATTTGCTGCCATTCACTCGTTCAGGTTGAAAAGCAATTCATCACGCCGGGCGGGTGGCCACATTTTCCTCTGGAATGTTTTCAACTGGCGGAGTCACGAAAGCACAGTACAGAGACAAGAGAGGGTGTCATGTCGGTTAATTACACGTACGGTAATGGACTTGCTGTTTGTCGTGGCGGTGTCAAAGGCAAGCACGTGACTCCAAATATGACAAGTAGAGCAGAAAATCAGCGTTGACCTTTACGATAATGTGTAAGATTTATCACTTGGACTTTGGTTGAGTTGAAGCGCGTGTTCATTCTCGTCTCCTTATTATTGGATGCTCATCATAGTTGAACCAAGATGATTTCTGTAAACATTGCAATTATTCATGAATGTTACTTGAATTCAACATTGATAGACGACGATTTGAATTAATCAACGACCCGAGAAATATATTGAGACAGGTTGGATTGTGACGAGTGTCAAAGCTTTTTTCGCTATTTGCTTTGGTGTAGACCACTTCAAGTGATCTTATTTGTGGGTTTAGAAAGAGGAAATTGGTGATTGGTGTCCTGATCAATTATGAGTTCATCTCAGGTAACTGCAGATGTAGTGCAAGGAGTCCGTGGACTCCTTGAGAGCTTTTATTTATTTGTGAACTGACTTTGGACGCCAGGGAGTGACACATAAATAACAAATGTGCTCACATCCCCATTCGGACAAGCATTTTTATGGCTGTTTAATTGTAATCGGCATACCTTAAGGATGCAATTTAATGTAATGGGGGGTGGGGGGGGGGTAAAAAAAAAAGACAATATAGACGCTTGGAATATTTGGCTCCCCGCTTCTGGATTAAAATAGTCGTATTGGTTGAGGGGTGGAAATAGCCCCCCCCCCCCCACCCCCCCTAATGGAGCGTTGTCATAAAAGCCAAAGGTGCTGTAACACAATATTAGTCGGAGGGTGTGCATATTTATGCAACCACGTTATTGTCCAATTTCTACTATCTTGGAACCATTTTTTTTTTTGCATTCACAGATTCATGTCTTGTGTTTCTTTTGTCCAGTTAAGTTGATTTTGTACACGTTTTCTGAAGTGTCAGCGAAATATTTCGAATGTAGCAACATGGACACGCACTCGTACTCACGCTGATGCGCATGTCCACCATATGGTGCTGAATGCGCCAACCATTTACATTTATGTATCCCCCCCCGCTCCCACCCCACCTATGCTGTTGTAAGTGGAGAGGAAGTCAATACGCCGCAAGTCCTCCAGAGCAACTGTGATCCCCATACAAATGTAAAGTGTAGAATAAAGGGTTTTATATGATCATTTGATCAACCTCACGAGGTCTCTGCTGCTTTGCACCGCAGCGAACGAGCTTCATGGTTGCACTCTCCAAAGAAAGACGTGAAGACTAACTTGAAAAATTGGTCAGAAGGGTTGGAAATACAGTTGCAACTTCAACGAGAGACAAAATACGGGCCCGTCTGTTTTTTGGGTGGATGTAGGGTCGGTGTTTACTGCAGAATCTCAATTATTTATTGTTTTTTTTCTGCAGCATGTAGATGTCCGTTGCTAACATCCCATCGCTTTCTGTGAGGTAGTATGCGTCTTGGTATGTAGCTGCTTTGTTTACAATATATCCGAAAGTAAGATGCATAGGATAAGAACAACTTTTTTTCGATCTTCCTTATACTGGAATGTGTGCACTTGAGTCGCATCCGTTTTTGTGCTGGTGACCTGCATTGGTTCTTTCTTGTCGACAACGAAGGATCCTGAGACCCTCACGGTCGTCTGAGCTTCTCCCAGTTCTCTTATCTTTAAGACTCACGAAACAGTTTTCCCAGGTGAGACTATTGAATGATGCCAGGAAGATCCAAATGTGAGCCTGTGGAGTCTAATCGGCCACAGACTGCTGCAGGAAGTCCAACATCCCCTGTTAATGTAGTGTCTTAGCCACGCCCTCACAGGGAAATGACAACTGTTTGTATGTTCAAACCCACTGTGCCTTTTGTCCCCGCCCACCGTCCCCGACTGATAGGACCCGAGGCTTTGTCGTCACCTCTCACCACATGTCTACATGTCTACTCGCACCTTTCCTCTCCCGCTTCAACCTGATCCGTCATCTCCCCCCCCCCCAAAAACCGCTGTCCTGTGTTTGTGTGTGTGTGTGTGTGTGTGTGTGTGTGTGTGTGCGTGAACGTGCATGAATGTGTGTTTGCCCTCAAGGTTCAATATCCATAACTCGTAGCTTTTCACTGTCTGGTAATAAATGTGTGAATTGATCCATAGCTTAAGTTCCTTCCGGCTCTGGGGGATCTCATTGAATCTCAAATATCACATATTGAATGCAGTGTACAGAAATGATGTCATCTTTTAATTTTACCCGATTGTAGAAAATACGAGCGTGCTGCGTGCGCGTTTGTCGATGAGTTTGTACAGGTGGGGGAACACTGAGGGCATTCAAAGTAAACAGCAGAGTCAATTCTCCCTTTCTATCGAAGCATTGATGAAACGGTACATGTTTCGTTTACGCCTCAAAGTAGAGCAATCGTAATTCTTATCGGGCTAAACTGTCGGCCTCTCTCTATTGCAAATAGACTACGTACATTCATATATATGTGGTATGAATATTTTTTTTGATGATGTTGATATGGAGAAAAACTCTTGAAATGATTTATCCGGCCTTATATTTTTATGTCCCAAAAACCTGACATTTGAACAGGACTGTGTAGACTGTGGCTGGTGTTTTTTTTTTTTTTGTGGATGGAGGATGGCTAGTGACGTGGCACAGAGCTATTTCAGGGGTTTGGGATACGTGACGTGAGAGAAGAAATCGCGGCAGATCGTGTGTGATGGATTGCTTTTCTCATGCCTCTGTTCTTTGGTCACGTGCGATGGCTGCGACGAGACAAAAAATGCGCTTTCTCTCCCGCACGCATGCTGTGCTGGCACACACTCACCAAGACACGCATACGTACTGTCAAGAGAAAAAAAAAACAAAAAACAGCATGTAAATCCATATGGTTGGATCGGCACACACTGTCACTTGCCGTGACTACACACCGCTTGTGCAAAGAAACATGCCAGACCGAGACTTTGCACACAGCTCACACATAACCAGCATCAGCATCTTGTGAAAGTGGCAATTCAGCTGGATTTGGGCGACGAGAGCAGGCAGTGGCAGGGCTGAGGCAGGCACAACATAGGCAGGGATAGAATATACAGGAGGGGGTGGCGAGGGGGGCGCCCGCAAGGACTAAAACACCGATTGATGCAAAATCCTTCTGAGAGAGGCCAAGCAGGGCTAAACTGGCCTTTGGACTCACCAATTTGTCGAGCAACGTCGTCAAACACGGCGCCGGTGTGCTATGAATGTAAACTTATGAACATCCCCGTTGCCATTTTGGAGGACAAATATGTGCTTTTCATGACAGTTTCATTGACGACAAATATATATTTTCTTTTGTCAGTTTTTAAGCGATTTTTAAGAGTTTTTAAGAGATTTTCAGACCGTCTTCCTGAATTCTGGCAGGTGACGCAAAAAAAAAAAAAAAAACGACAAACGACAAGGTCATGTGGACCGAGCAAAATGCAGCAAAGCGATTTCTCCCTGTAGTTGGGACGATTACACGAGTCTGCATTCTCGCAATCACATTAGTTCTTCCGCGGGAGTCGTGACGGCCAAATGAAACCATTTCAGCAGCGTCTTGCCAAAATCATAAAGCAAGATCGTAAAATGTAACAAGAAAAATTGACACGGTAGTTTCTGTAAGAGCGCAAAAAGGCCACTTGCTTGTTTCGGTTTAATATGGAGGCTGGCGCCTTCCCAAATGGGAGCAGCTGGTCCGCCTTCCATTGGCAGACCACTCGGGTGGTGTAGTGAAGTGGAATGTGTGCACGTGTGTGACTGTGTGAGCGTGTGTGTGCGCGCGCACGTGCATATGTGTGCTTGGATGGCCAATCGATGCTTGAAGGAGGGGCATTACAGTGGGGCGGGATTGTCAAGGTTATTGAAGGTAGACCCTTGGAGAAATACAGTACGTTCTATAAGATCAATCATCCAAATTGGGGGGATGTTCACATTATTACTTTTTTTTTTTTAATAGCGATGAGTTCTTACACAAATTGGTAATGCTGTTCTGGGACTGCTTCTCATAAAAAAAAAATTTAAAAAAAAGAAAAAAGGTGATCCTTGACTTCAGTCTAAAGTAGCTTCAAATATCCGAATTTCCTGGCAAGAAAAAAACAAAAAAAAAAACAAAAGCTGAGAAATCTGCAGATGAAGGAGAAGCTAAATAAGTCCAAGTCATCCACGGTCAGACAACAGAAAATTCGGACCAAACAAATACATGAACTCTCAAACAACCAGGATGTTTCCGTGCGGTCCGACCAGTTCGGGTTATCATCCATCCTTTGACCTGATAATTGAAATTCACATTTGGCATCACAACGGTAACGGATTGATGACCGCGTATATGCAACATACGTTCAATGCAACGGTTTCCATCTTTTTCATAACTCATAAACTGAGGAAACAGCCTCTGTACTTGCAAAAATGTGGACAGTGACATTTTAAAATGGACAAAATATCCGTCCGTCCCTCCTGAAAAAAAAATCATGATAGGAGTTTTTTTTTTTTTGGGGGGGGGGGGCGTTCTCTTTTTGGCAACATATGCTCTTGTGGCGTTGCGGAAATGCGTGAAGTGTGTTAAAACACGGAGTCGTGCGATGATGACACACAGTCCGGTAGCACAGTGTCATATGCAGCATAATGTATCCCTTCCCTCCCACTGTCCTGCGTATAGACCCCCCCCCCCT